GTGAAATGGAAATGATGGCGTCTTTATCCTCGGTTACAGCCAATAGAGGGGGACGATAGTTTGGCGGTCGCGTTGTGCATTTGACACCTTACTTTACCGACATGTCGGGGTGCGAAACGATAATCTATGCGGTCGTTTCGCACGTTTCGACCGATTTGTTCAACCGGAAATTGTATTTGAATTGGGAAAGTGAAAGCAGATAGAAAAACAGCGAACAAGTTCTACCTCTCGTCGTCGCCAACCGTTAATTGAATCGACTGATCCAGCCGTGCGATTTTAATGTCATGGGGAAACAATGGGCACGCGTTAAGTATTATTATGAGTATGATGCATCCATGAATAACTGTCAGGGAAGGACGACGACTGCAATTGATCTCGGTCGATAAAGTAGTGTGATACCATCATAAATTCTCTTTAATATTTTCGTTGAAATATATTTTTTATTTCATATTTATCGGGAAAAGTATTTGAATCTTTGTTTGTGTTTCATGGAAACGAGATTTTAATGACGACTCTTCATCGATGCATCCACTGACTCGATCAAAACGGAGGAAAATATTCCTCTCGTCGATAAAGAGATGAAACCTATTGTGTACAAAAGCATCTGAAAATAAATCTGAAACATCTGAAGCAATTTTTAAATTTTAGAACGTAATCGACTCATAAAGGTGACTTCAAGCGCAATGTATTGTTATGGTCATACTACAAAGAAGAATCTTAACTATAGAATGCACACGAGAAATAACAAAGGGAGTTATAACTTGCCACGAAATTTTCTGGTAATACGATTCAGACACGATCCATCAAGCATGAAATAAAATTCAAAAGCAAGCCACCATTTGAAGCTATGCCTTTCTCTTTCTTCTTTCATGCGAATGCACTTATTTTCTCATTTACTCGTACTCTATCTTCCTCTCTGTTCCTTCCATTCTCCTTTTCAGTCTCTTTATTTGCTCTGTTACGCACTTAATGAACCGTTTCTGCTCCCTTTGCTGGGCCAGAGAATCGATCTCTCGCGTACGGAGAACCGAACGAAATCTAATCGGTTGAAATTTCGTCCAGGAAGTTCGCCTCAAAGAGCACAGTAGACACTCCTCCACAAATACGAACAAACCCTCTATTTTCCCCAAGTAAACCGACTCCATCGGTAATCTGCCGATTTAATTATTCTCTTGTCGCTGAAATTTCATGATTATTGATTTTTGAACCGTACAAATTTAATCATACGTTACTATTGCATTTTACATACCTTACTTTACGATGACAAAAAAAAAAGAAAAAAAGCGTTCGCAATTAGCCTTCTCGCGCTCGCGTTTTATGGACACATCTGTGTATTTTGCTTTCAACAGATCGATTATTGAAAAATAATGGGCGCAATTTGTGTTTTCATTTGACAACATACGTCACCGACTAAGTCGTTCGATCAATAGTTTTTTCTATGCGGAAAAAAATTGTTTTCACTCCTGTCTCTGAAAGTTTGAAATAGAGGTTATGTTGTTCATATACCTTCAATAACTTTTATCTCCCTTATACCATGCTAGCAATCACATAGTTGTCGCGTGTTTGATTTATTTCGTACGGTATCAGTTTTGCCAGGAATTCATCGTCTTGCTGTCTTCCAAACATCCGGTGTTTTCTTCCCACTATGTGAGCTATGTAAAACAAAACAGATGCGAGAGCGTGACTGACACCGAGCAACGTACGGACGAATGCGAGAAAACGGTACACGAGTTAAGATCCACGAATTCGGATTCAATATGAAAGATTCCGATTCTATTCAAATACGAACCGCTGGCTGTGGGAATACGACACATGTAGATACGCATACGTATGGTCGCGTGCTCTGACCGAGCAGGTGGATTTTCAATATCCGACAACGAAGGAATATCGAACGGATCACCTTATCGTATGACTTACCGTATATCTCGAACCCTATTGTGCATCATCTTCAGAAATTGTGGTATATCTAAAGTGTATATTATACAAAAAATTATAAAATAAATATACATTAACAATCCGAGACTATGATATAAAAAATTCAATGATTAAAGAAACTTAGTATATTTAGGATGGTCAGTTCTCTAAAGCACTTCATATTCATGCACAACCTATATACACAGTATCGACCATTAGAGATAAAAAAAATTTGAATAAAACTAGGGTGTCTGGTGCTACGGTCCTGGCCAGGTCCTCCCGTTTTATATCTGTGAAGGAGCTATATAGAGTAGCCTGGAGCAGTGCCGTCTACAGGCTCGACCCTGTACTACGTCAGTGCAGTCACCACTTGCCTCAAAAGCGTATCGTGTCTTATCTGCCAAAAACTTTCTGATTTTCGACGTCGAAATCGAGGACACTCGTCATCAACTTCATCTATAGGCCCGTAAGTAGTTTCGTAACCCTCTGTTCCTTTCGATTCCGGCTAATTCTCGTCAAAACTGCTTAATTACGTTTGCCGCGAAAAATGCATAAAAAAAGGCGGGACAAGTGGATCTCGAGAGCCTTGACCTTAGCCTTTAGTCATTTGCATGCAAACGTAGCCGCATTGTTCGCTTTTCCGGCCACGACGATAAGGTAGACAAGAGGAAAATAAAAGAAAAAAGCACGTAATGCGGCAGAATGCGCGAAAGAGGTCGATAACATCGCGCGCCCGCGCAATTCTTGCGTTTCTTCCGCAGACAGCGACGAAAAAAGTCAGGGAGAAAGCGGATCTGCGGCCAGACTGCGTGAAATATCACGACCGAAACACGCGTGAAAATCAGCCGTATCCTCAGGAATAGGCAGGCAGGCCACTGTGTGTAATTGTTCCGACGTGGTGAGTAGCTGGCCCGGGACGAGGACGAATTTCGTGTTATCGATCAGCTGCGAGAGACGCGCTCGTCGATGTATCCGTACGCACGATCGCGTGCACCCGGTGCATTGGTCGCGGACATTGCTCTCGCAACCTTGTGCAATTCTAAGTGCCAGTATCTGATAATTCGTATTACTTTAGAGAAGCATTTCATTTGGTTTTACGTATTATGAAATAATGACAAATTAGTGTTTGAAAATTGTTGCAGTCTAGGTTATGCTAGAAAATTCATTGAATCGATTTCGCTATCAGGTGATTGAACATTTCATGATCATTTCACTTGCAAGCACTAAAAGATATCGAACTGATAAATAATTATGAATGAAATCATTCATAGAATAAATACCTCTTTTTCTATGAGACTAATTTTCCTTTACGACAGTGATTTATATACATACTGGTACTGAATGTTACCTATGGCAATATTCTTTGTAGTATAAAGTAATTTAAAATTTAATAGAATAGAAATATTTTTAAAATACCTATTGTATTTTGATCTAATATGTCATTTTATTCATAATAATTGTTATTACTATATATTTACACAATTACTTTCAAATTGAATTTTTCCAAAGAAGATTTCTGTAATTAATATTATTCAGGATTGCATAGTTTCGCCATCTGTTATCGATTACTTATATCATTCAGCTTTCATAATTTGCTACATTGTGGAGACACTGTTCGTAGTGAGTGAAATGTCAATCAGTGTCATTAGATCCTCATTACATAATCTTGTTTAACTGCAAAACTCGGTTTTTAGTAAATATACAATCCTAGATCTATTATGCAATCGAATATATATTATGATGTGCCCAACAAATGCTCTTTTCACTAGCGTAACAGCTATTCTGTGTAAACAGAGGCACCAGATGGCAGCTTTGCAACAACGTGATTAGTTTCCTTTAATAGCGTTGAAATTTCGGGATTCGAGAGTTTCGTCGGTTGCTCGTTCCTATTTGATTGAACAACGTGAATATAAACGGTACATCCTATGTGCACACTTCGACCTCTCTTTCAATCGATTGTTCCGGTCTGTGTCGCTGTTTTCAGGAGATACTGCTACTGAATAGAATATTTTGAATTACTTCGAAAAAACTCGTTGCTAGTAATTGGCACTTGTGTCTTCTTATTTTAAACAGAAATACATATTCCTGTTTCAGAAATGAAATATTATCAAGATCTCTTATCAAAATGGAAGAAACGGTTTGGTATAAAAATTTATCATATAATTCCCTATTATGAAAATTTATTTTAGTCGAATAAAACGATATCGAAGATATTTGACTGAAGTGAGTAAATGGAAGAGATATTGCAAATCAATCAGGGGACAATCACAATAACTACGCCATTTATTATTCTGCACTTTATTGCACATCACTCTAACATTCCAGTAACGTTGACTAACCGGAAATCATTGCTTGAAGTTTCCTTGACGTGTCCAGCAGTCTTACTGTTATTTGTCACTGCATCTGAAACTGTAGTATTTTATATCGATCTTTAATACAACTTTATACTATTTTATATTTCAGTACCATCACTATTTTGATTTTAATTTAATTAAGTAAAATACTTAGAAATGTTTCTTATATAATTTATTATAAAGTTATGTTATACAGATAGTTCGAGCATGAGCCATAAAATAGCACGTTTCTTTTTGCCTCTTTTCCATCTTTGTCGAACCCGATGCTATATTAAGAAACCATGCAGGAAGAAAGAAAATGTTTTCACGACAGTATCGTTGCGTACGGTAACTGGATAACAACATACACCAACGTGACTATGGGAATGGATTCTATTTTTGACGTCAGAGAGTTTTGTCGAAGCATAAAAAAGATTCAGGAAGAATGAAATGAAATTATGCTGTCCATACGGTTACTTGCAGATTTATTGTTCCCTTTTTTCTTCTCATTTGCATTTTCTTAACATTTCTTTAATTTTACGTTTCTCTTATTTCAGAATACGCATAATTTATACGATCGTACAATTTCGTTTTACACCTGTAAGGACTTATGAAACATAATGAAGTTAAAAATTTAAAGATAAATCAAGTTGAGATTAAAATTTTTCTAGAATTACTTTTTTATATAATTTCTGAAATTATTGGGGAGACGTCGGAACAGCAGTATAAAAAAATTTGTTCCTTTTGTTTCAGAAGGAACAAAACGAGAAAGAAAGGACAGCGGGAGGAAGTTCGACGTACAACACCGACCCGGACGACCTCTATTTAGACGAACAGGAGTCTTTGGAGGGTTCTGGTCGAGGTGGCAGCGGAGGTCGCAACGACCTTGAAGCATCCGGAAGTGGCCTTGGACCGGACGACGAAGATAGCGTCGATGATCATGGTAAATTTCTGTAATTAACAATATTGATTTTCAGTTTTTAAAAAGTAACGATATGAAAAAAGATATGAGTATTTAGTGCCAAAATTTTACGTAAATGAACGTAATTAATCATTAACCCCGCTGTTGTAGAAAGTACAATCATAACGAAACTGATAGACCAAGAAACGTGAAAGAAATGAAAACAACATTTTTTAATAATTCCACATACAGAGGTTGTGAAAAATTTAATATCGATAAACTGCAAATCATTCATTGTCCAGAAACGCAATTATCCTCCATTGTGAGTATGTATTTGAGTTTGTAGACAAAAAAAGAATTGGAGTATTTGGGCTGCGAAACAATCGAGCATCAACAAGAGCTTTTTTTTCAAAAAGCTACTCATCCATACGGATTCCATTGGCGATCGAAAAGCACGAGCAGAGATCGACGGCACGAAGAATTCACGTCCCACCATTTTGCTTGAAATTTTTCAATAAAAGCGTAGCTCGCGGAATGCATTGTATGTGGCACACCAACGATGCGTGTCACACGATTTCCAGAAACGTTTCCTCTTTTTTGTCTCCATTTTTCAAAATTGCCAAGCTGGAAACGTTTCACGTTTTATCGTTCCCTCATTCAAATCTGTTCGAATAATCATCCGTGATCATCGAAGGTACTCTAATACTAGAATCACTCAAATAAACGGATCTCGACTTTTTATTACTATCACGTGTTACATACTTATTTTGTAATCGTTGAATATCATATTTGCAAATTGTTTTACAAAGTTTCTTACTAGTTAGATTAACTAATTTATGTTTAGGTTGAATTATTATTTCCTCTTTCCTCTTACAGATTTTAATAACAATAACAGGATAGAAACACCACCTCAAGGGCCGGAAGAACCTAAAGCACCATATTCCGTCGACGAACCAAGTAAATCTAAGGAACAGGTGAATATAGCTGAAGTTTTTGTGATTAATTACTACTCCTTTCAAGATAACCCAGAAGATTAAAAATCTTCTAATTTATTACCGTAGTTTCTAAGATACTGCATCACCTTCCTCAACTTTCTAAGATTATCAAAATTGTCTTATTAAAAAGGAAGAGGAGAAGGAAAATAATTAATTGTCAAAGATCATAAAGGACTACGTTATTTCTTATTTTATTTTAATCATTCTAATGGAATACTCCTCGATATTTGGAGCTCATAGGCCACAGAGTCATTCATTGATCCGTTTAACAATGAAAAGATACACCTTCCCTCACCCGGTTTTACGCAAAGGGAAAACCCACCGAAACGCGTGGACGTTAAGGCGGGTTATTAGATTTGTTTGAAAACACACCTCCTGGCGAGCGTCCGAATTAAACGGATTAAACTGATTAAGCGGTGTCCCATTGCAGACGATCGTGGAGACTGTAAACCGACCCGACAACGAGGTTGATGTAATCGAGCCCGTAGATGAGGGCGACCACTCGGAGAACACCGACGACATCCACGAAGTATACATCATGAACCCGAAACACGAGGACCGTTCTAGCTCTTTCTTTGCTCAGCCAGGTGTACTCGCAGGTAAGTCTACTTTTCCATCTTTTGCATCTAATTTTATCAAAAACGAAACCGTTTGATTTACATCCAAGTCTTGAAAAACTACGTTAAAATTTATTTTTGTAATGTTCTAGAATTTTTATATTCGAATTATGTATTGATGTCGATTAATGAACTTAAATATAAATATAAATTATGGATTTTAGTATATGTAGCAGTTATTAACGATGCAGTCTGGAGCTCCTCGTTCTCAAAGTTTTCTTGTGCGTGTGTAAAATGATTAAGTTCACCATTCTACAATTAATCGCTCTGCAATTTGTAAAACACAGTTGCTTTGAAAGCCAGAATCTCGGTGCGTTACACAACCGAAACTATGCGAAGGGGTTGCGTTATTTATTAACACGTTCCCTTAGTATTAAACTTGAAGTATAAGGGCAACGTGTGGATCAACATTCCACGGAAGCAGTATTTATTCACGAGGACTCTGCAACTCCAGCGAAATTCTAGGTTAAGTTAACTTATCCGGAGCCACGCATAATAAATGCGCTACATAATTAACACCCTGAATAGTTTAACGCCACTGAATAGTAAATCGCTCGTACTTGTACAGCTACTTAAAATATCTCAGATTCGAGATGCTCTTTAAAGTCAGATATCAGACATTTGAAACTGCATTTATTATTTAAGAAAGAAAGAATAAACTCAAAGACGATAAGAATTATAGTTTGAGGAAATTAATTTAAAAATTGAAGAAAGAAGTAAACATGCTTGAAATAATCTTAAATCTCAAGAAACTTGTTAGAGTTGTTCTTAAATTCTTTATCTATTCTATACAGATCTATGGAAATTATTCTATATAAACTATATATAAGTATTATAATTAGATTTACAGGGATAAAATTATAAAATATTATGTATTCAAAGTCCAATTCACTACCTAAGATATAATTATTATTTTTACTATTATTTTAATTCATTCATGGAAATTAATTAAGATACTTGTTTTTAGCGGTGATTGGTGGTGCAGTAGTTGGTCTGCTTTGCGCAATCTTGGTGGTGATGTTCATCGTGTACAGGATGCGCAAGAAGGACGAGGGTTCGTACGCCCTGGATGAGCCAAGAAGATCTCCAGCGGCGCAGGCGTTCCCTAAGCCTGGCGCGCCGCATCACAATCGAGAATTCTACGCTTGAGGCGACAAAGCTTACCTGGCTTTGGCACCGCCCAGTTTTGTCCCACGATACCATGCCGAGAAAGACGATGTCCTTCGACCGAATTAAGCGCCACCGCCGACAATACGACACATCCGGAATCTCCCACGAGGGTCTTGCGAAACACCTCGTTTACTGACCACAAAGAGACTTCCTTCACGTCGGGGAAAAGCATCACCTTAATCTCTTTTTGACTTTTCGATCAAAGATTTGCTTAATTTTCTTTTTAACACACATTTCTTTCTTCTTAAACGCCCCTTAGTTCTTTCAATAATTTAGACACTTCAATAACATTCTCTGTTTTACCATAGGAACACACTTGTTTTAATTGATCACTTTCTGAGGTGGAACCTCTCTTAACTCCACAGCACTCTATTTTCCTACTCGTGTGCCATCTCGCTACGAGTAACCTTCTGAGTTAAGCATTGGTCCACCTCTGAGAGTTGAATATCGATTTTTCTATTGGTCGCAATTTATTTTATATTTTTGTGCCAACTCGTTGTTTAAGTCACGGGTATTTGTCTCTTTCTGTAACTATCGTGCACTGATCGAACAAAAGAGAGAGGGCGATAGCTGATGAACTGCCCCGTTACGAGTACTCGTCGGCAAGGTCGCGCAAATTCCAGATGCATTTACACAACGTGTATTTCAAAGCGTATACGTATCCAGGCGTACGTACACGCCTCCCTGTACAGGACTGAGAGCGCGAAAATTCGTGGGCGATAAACGCTGCTGGTATGTCGTTAATCATTCTGGCCCGGTGGAAGGAGGGAAAGGAAGAAGGATCGTTGCGCCACCGTGATTTCTCTTCGACGCCAATCCCGTGAACCACGACCTCGTTTATCAGCGTTTCCTCCGCTGTTCCCCCTTTTTCTCTCTTCACTGTTTTTCATCCACTTTCTTTTTGTTTTCTATTTAACGATCATTTCCCGGATTTGCAGATGTTTTTAACAGTATGACTACACAGGACCTTTGATCTATTGGCGCTTTTCTTTCTCTAAAGTCCAACCATATGGAATCTCAGCATTTATTTTGAAGAACATGAGATTTTCTTTTTTAAGGTTTGTCTCCTTCTTAAGAAGTCTGTAGCTTATTTTGTTTATTAGATTGAATAGAATTACAATACATTACGAAATGGCATTTGCTTAGGTGATGACCATATAGGAAAAGTGATAGGTAAGAATATCAACTCAAGGATCTTAATTTTTTTAAAACTCATTATATATCCAAATACGATTTAGAATAATTAAATAGATAATCCTATAAATTAAATGAATTGTGTGCAATAAATGATTATAATGCGTTTGCATTTTGGTAAAGGCAAACGGCTTTACTAATGATTAATTAAAAAATTTAGAATAAATTAAGAACATACTAAATCGTTTAACTTAAATTCAATACGTATTCGAGTCCTCTTTTGTTAAGTCACATTAACCGTAAAATTTATCTCTTAATCTTACATATCGGTATTTAATCACATTAAGTTCCATATTTAAAAATTGTTTATTTCTAATATAACATATCTTCATCAATAATTAGGCTTAAAGTACCATACTTTTACATATGGTAACACTAACTTTAATCTCAAGATTTTTATTGTAGTTGTTAATGGAATGCATAAATTATTTAAATTATCCTTATTGATTCACCTTCGAGAATCCTCTAAAAATAATGGATTGAATTGCACATTGAAGCAAGATCATTCCAATCTCAATTTAAAATCAGAAAGCTTGTTTTATCGATCAAATTTCCCACTCATAGAAATTAAATAATCACATGTGTTTCATTATGCTCATAATAGCGGTATACTGAAATCTTCAAGCGGAAGTATCCTCATTGGACACGGTTGTATCGATTGCCATGCACTTAGTGGATAAAACTCAGCGTGCCATTTTAAGCACCGTAAGTGACGACGTTTTCTACAACCGATCGCTTGATCTTCCGCCAAAGTAAAGCAATGACATTTGTGAAAGAAGAAATTCATTTATTGATCGCATTTTATCAAGAAACAAAGCACAACGTATCCAGACAGTCAATCCCTTCTTCCATCCCAGGAAAACTAAGAAACATTTTGTATCTTAAGGAGAAAAAGCTTCTTCTGCTGGTCGAGAGAGATTCTATTTGCCATGGACAAAAAAGAAAGACATTTAAATTTCTCAAGTGTACGTAAGGACGTATCTCTTTTTGATCTTGAAAGAAACACACGTGCGTATACGGATTTATATACGTATACATGATTTCATCTGCGACTGTAAAAGTCATGCGTCTGCCATATTGAAAAACGAGATAAAATAGAAGATGATGTGAGAAAGAAAGATACATACACGGACACACACTCAAGTGTTTATCTATTTGTTCCAAGATTTTCATCCGCGGTATTTATCCTATGGTCGATCAGTATCGCGAAGTACGTTGTAATAATTTATTAACTTTTTCACGTAGGACCAAGCGATTCCCCTCTATCCCCCAACTTTCCTATATCCTTTCTTTTTCTTTCCCTTCCGTTATTCTTCCGATGATCCTGTGGATCGTTAATTGTCTCTCCTCAATTGTTTGAGATGTTTTCGGCGTCTCGTTCGCCTCTTGCCAGGTAGAACGCAATCAATGTTTTAACCGTCAGACTGTACAATAAAAATAATCTTTTATACCGAACTTGTTGAAAGAAATTATCAATTGTAAAGGATGCATTTTATTATGCTACTAATTAAGAAAAGGGAATTATTTTAAAAAACAAATATTAGGACGTGAATAATAAATCGATATCATTGTAATATTATTATTACTATTATTATTATATTATTATTACTATTATTATTATTATTACTATACTATTATTAATTATTGTTATTAATTATTATTATTATTAATATTATTATTATTATTATTGAAACGTAACGTTTATAGATTGAATTTTTAGTCACGCCATTTAGAATATATTACTCCATCATGTTCCCTTCACTTTCGAACGATATAATTCATAGGATCTAATGCTATCTTTCACTATCCTAAATCGCGATATTAACTAACGTTTATCTCATGAATAAATGTGAATATTGAATGATTTTCATATTTCTAAATAATCTTATATATATGATGTTATACCATTTATAATATCTTATATATAATGTTATATCATTATTATATCCTGTGCAATAATAACATGGATTTTACGTAAATGAACCATTGCATTTATTATCACCCGAATCGACCAATATAAAATAAAACATCATTTAAAACAAAACAAATTTGTCATAAATATTAAATACCAAACAATTAATTTATAGTAAACGTGGTGGTAAAATATTACTATTTTCTTATGTAAATAAATAAAATTATTAGGATCCTATTTTATAACGGGCGAAAATTTGATTTAAGCATTAAGATTACTATAAATCTGTGTTCTACCTGTGTGGGAGGAACACGGGCGCCATTTTTATAAAGTCCGATGTGTCGGCGTAAATTAAAATATATCATGCCGATACTGCCATGTACTAACTATATAAGAAACACCAATTGCCTACGACAACTACTGTAATTCTTTTTTGTTTGGTCTTTTATATACTCACACATGAAATAACTTTGCTTTGTATCACTTCGAAACGATCATTGAAGGTTACGGGCAAAGCGTTTAAATTTAATCAACGTATTAGGTAATGTCGCTCGAGGCAATTTTCTTTTAACTGCGTTAGCTTGTAAAAAAGTATGGATAAAAATCATATGATTGTCAATGTAGGAAAATTGCTTCTTGCAACATTCGTTTAAATGTTTTCAGGTTTTTTCTTAAGTCGACTAATTCTATCGATCAGCGCATTTCGATCATGGCACTCGTTGCTTCTAAACCGATCTTATCGATTTTTAAAATGGCTAAAAGCTATGTTATAAGTTTATTTATAATAAAGTGTCTAGACATCTCTACGATACTGTAACAGGTAGTAATAAAAAGTAAGTGTATTGATAGGGTCGACTTGGAAGAGGAACTATCTAAGCAGCTATTTAATGTACAGGTTATGTGAAAAGCAAAGATCACAAATAAATATCGATACCTAAATAAAAATAATTAAAACTGTCTGAAAATTGTGTTTAGGATAAGTTACTTGCAATAAATAGAATCGAAATTAATTCTCTCTTCTATTTCTTCCAAGGTTAGTGTAATATTACGCAATACCTAAAATCAATTGTGTACTATATACATATATATATGAATTCTATGCTTTGCCTTTAACTCGAAAATCGTTGAAAAAGAAAGTTACTCTTGTTATATTCATACAGATATTGTAACTAGACTATCAAGCTTAGTAAAACGTACTGTCATCCCTGTTTTTTCACATCAAATCGGTTTTCAATTCTCACCTGTTTTTCCACGTTTTCAAGGAATCAAGTTCTTATTCCTTTATTACGCCTCGCTCTTGGTTCCATTCATCTTTGCCCTTTTCAAGAATTTCTTCACCTTTCCTTGCATTTCTTTACAAAATAGGAACCTGAAGATCGAATCATAATCTTTATTGTAATAATAATCGTATGCAACATAGACAAAGAATTGTTTGTTAGATAGTAATTAATTTTCTGCGTGGTGTTACAGAGAAACGCAAAACTGTTTTTTTTATAGATGAAAATTTAAAAAGTTTCTTCCCTTCACGAACGAATGTTCTTAAATTAAATACGATTTATCGTAAAAAGAAGTTGAAGATTTTTTATCATTACTAATATCATTTACTAAACTACAAGAAATAACGTATTAAAACAAAATATGTATTGTTCGTGAATGATGAAGGAATTTCTTACAAAAGCTTACATTTAGACACGATTGAAACAGAAGATTCTGTTTGTCGTCAAAACACTAGACAACAAGAGAAAGAAAGTAAAAAGCATGCGTTAAATTTCCACGTGACTCATTTAATACTCGAGATGCGCTATCTACATTCTATGCGACAAAAAAACAAATATTAATTGTAATGAAATCTTATTTTATAAGAGGATGTATTCCGTAAAAATGCTCTAGTAAAGAAAAGTCTAACACTAGACGAAAACCCATAGGCCAGGTGGACAAATGAATAATAATTTTAAAAATGAATATAATTAATATTTAATGATAACGATAATTAACAATATTATTTTTTAAGAATAAGTATTGTCTACCCTTTGCTCCTCCCCTTTTGGAACGCCATCAAAACTCCATGAAGTATATATTACATATATGTGTATATATATATTCCTGGTGAGTGCACACATATACATGTATATGTATTTGTATAAAACAATAATCGTCCGCCGATAAAAATATAAATTAGGTATTATTTTTTGTTTATATTATTTTTACAATTCTGATTCGTATAAGAGTTACGATTCTATCAATCGATATTCGAAGTTCCTATACGAATCGATCGGAGGTCGAGGTTATGCTGTTGCAACAGTAATATTCTCATAAATTCCATTCAAATTTAAGCCAAATTGTATTATTTCCATTATAATGGGCGTTTACGTTGACAACACGTTATTATTAACTGAACTTAATGATCATTGCACTATGTTAGTATAACAAACAATACTGTATGTCATCGCTCCTATTCTGTAAATAAACACTGTGCCGTATAAAAAATATAATTTTAAAATATAATTTTTTTCGTTACATATTATAGATCCAAAAATAGGCGTTTTCTTTATTTCAATATTTCAATATACTTTATTAACTGCAAAATGTGTATAGAAAATGTTATTCTTCATAATATGATTAAAATATTTCACAGAATGATAACACATATCGAAAAAACTTCTTGCAAAAATAAAATCTCTCTTGAATATCTTTCACAATTATTACACTTTTTACACAATTTTATACTTCAGTGTATAAAATATTTACAACGACAATCTATAAATATTGTACAAAAAATATGTTTATTTTCTGTTTTGAACATTAACTATCAGTAAAATGATCAACTTTCATAAATTTTTTTTTCAACATTATACATATAATATATTGCGGTTGTTGTATGTTATAAATTGAGATCAACAAACATGATTTTTAAACTTCAGAATGTATAAGAACATATTAATTCCTTTTGATATAAAAATTGTTTAATATAAAAACTATTACGTAATCGGTAATAACCAAATATACAAGACTCAGAGAAGTTTAATTGTCATATACGAAATACAAAATAGTAATTATGATTAACTTAAATTTTGTTTAAATAATTTTGCTTTTTTGATAAAATCTAAAGTTAACAGTAATTACTATTTTATATTTTTATATTTATATTAGAAACTATTTTCTAAATAAAAATTTTTTGTTGAGAAACAATTGCATTATAAATTGCTTTTGAGAAATGGTTTCAAATATTTCTTAAAAGATTCATTCACACTGTTTTGGTTTAAAGGACTTTTCATGGCTTCAGCGAATAAACGTTCATACACATTACCATCATAAGAACCTAAAGTCGAATTAAGAATTTCGTCATGGATATCGAAACCATCAACGATACCTACGATGTTTGGACGGATTATCGCTAGCAAATCTTCAAGGCGTGACTGAAGCACCAGTACGTCTGCTTTTTTCATAGACGAAAACTAAAGAACAGAAAATTACATTTTACTCAAAATATGCCATAAAATACAATACAAAATATATTTTGTACTTTTCTTATTTCATAAAAGAAAACAACACCAACCTGAAGGAAATCGCCACGTTTTTGCAAAGTCCAATATAGGGCATAAAATTCGCAGAGTTGAAACAGAACTTGACGTAATTGCTGAGAAACCGAAACCTGCTTAACGGCTTCAACAAATCTTTTTACAACAAAAGCTCGACAATGAGCCTCTGCACAATACGCTAATTCAATGCTAGTTTGATTCCAGGCATCTTCTGGAGAAATACCATTCTGTATTCTATGATCCATGTGTTCCACTGCTAAACCGATATTTCTATGAAAAAATAAAAATTTTGTAAACATTTCAAAAAATTCTTGCACAGTTATTTAATAATATTTCATGTCAAGAATACCCTGCAGCTACTGCATAATGTGCTTCAATGATACATTCCAAACTATTAGCCCAAGGTCGTTTTATTTCTTTTATTGCATCCATAAAATACTGTATAGTCGTTGATAGTGGTTGACCCGCAACAGCTTGTTTCCACTCTTTTACTAAGTATCTAGCTGTTTGTAAAAGTAAGACAGTATTTTCACCTTCGTAAGTGCACATAGCAGTGACTAAGCCGTAAGTTGTCGGAAGATTACTAGAGTCCATGTACCCGTGTCCACCACAAGACAACCGAAGTTGCTCTATTCCCCCTGCTGCATCTGCAGTTGTAACTGCTTTCAAGCAACATGCTAAAGCATGCAACTACAAAAAGTATTATCAAAATCAAAATGATGAGGAAAAACGGATTAGTAGAAAAGATTCAAAGAAAGCACCTCTGGTAGTTGATTCAGTCCTTCCTGATTACCAGTGACGTTATTATACATATCCCAAATCCAATTAGCAGATATTTTGAATGCAAAACACGCAGCGACATGTGGGAAAATTTTATATTGTTGTGTTACATAATCAAGGATCTGTACTTCAGGTTTTCTAAGCAAAAAATGAAAAAAAAAAAAGAAAAAAAGATACAAAGTTATAACGTTAACATTAAAATTTGATATTTTACTTCTTTAAAAAATATCGATATTCGACATTTTATTTGAAGAAAACTACTTCACAATGAAAAGTAATTATTTTCGATAACTTACTCCGAATTTATTTGACCTTGACGTCTCACTGCGCTATATCGAACTGCAATAGTGGCGGCTTTCGATAAGTAACTTACGACATCGTGTACCAACACCACTCGGACAAACACCATTGTACCATACGTTAACTTATCATTTGATGCTTTTACATACGTTCCATCTTCCAGTACCTATAATGAAAAATGTAATTTTGTAATTTCTAATAACAATCATAAATGATAGACAGTTCTATTTACACAGATTGCACGTATAATTTACCTTTCACATTTACTGCCACAGGAAAAGGATTTCGCAAGAAACAAAAGGTACCAAAATAAGAAAAGTCGTTATTCTACATAAGATTGTGTTATAAGATACAGCCTACGTAATTTACAACGGTAAATTTCAGTTTTACCAAAGAGAAATAGAACTGTTTCCTGTTTTTACAGTAATTTTATTAAAGTGAACATGTTTTCTTTTTTACCTTAGAATTTTTCATCAACATGTTCATCCGTGGTATTCTAACATTGTTAAATCCAAGAAAACCATTGTTAACGCCGTTCATTCCCAATTTCCTGCCAATCTCTCCTATTTTAATGCCTAAAAGTGCAATACAAGTTAATTTGATTTTTCTCTTGCTATTTATTATATAACTAATTGCAAACAATATTATGTTTACATACCAGGCATGGGTTCGTGTGTATCTGCGTCTCTTAATTGTACAATAAAAGGGTGTATTCCTCTACATTCGTTTTGCACGTATAATTGTGCAAGAACTATCGCATAATTTGCAGTATGACCCACTGATAATTAAAATTATAAATAAATCGTAATATTAATAAACATACATATTTCTTATCGCACTTTTGTTACTTTTGAAATTACAATATACTCACACCCGCCTGGCCACCATTTGTAGGAAGTCAAGGTTGGACTGTTTAAAACAAATTCTTTCGTACAAGCATCGTACGTTGCCGTAGTTTCTAAACCTCTGATAAACGTTCCATGGCCAAGTTCGGTCTATAACAGAAAGAGCAAATAATATTCATTTGTATTGTAAGTTCCATTTCTTAAATTTCTTTACATTTTACCTGAGCATATGTGCCAACAATGTCACCACTCCAAGATCTAGATACCCAATATCCTTGTTGCTGTGTATTTCCTTGTCCTAATATAGAGGGAATGAACATAGCATAATGCAACACAAATGGATTTCCATCTCTAAATAATCCTGACCCAAGTCTAGCTCCAAAGATATGTCTGCAAAATATCCATAATGAAGACACTATATATTCTTAATAAATATATCTCAAAACAGTATATAATAATTATACAGCATACCGTAAAACATAAACACTTGCTTTCCCCGACTCTTGCAACTCTTTGATCTTTCTGAAAACTTTGCATGCTCTTTGCACAGCATCTTCATACACTTCTTTGTGACTCTTATATTCGGTTGGTACAATATCTCGAAGTTCTGGGTCGTTCAAAAAATATTTTTCTAAAAACAAAATTTGAAAAATTAAAATTAATTACTTTTTAATTAAATTCTGCGTGAAAAAAAATAATTTTGTGAAAGAAAAATAATTTTGTTGAACATAAATAATTTTGTTGAAAGAAAAGAAATTCTAGCATGATTTGACATATTTCGTGCAAGTGGAAATTTATGAATTTATGAAATTAATTATTTTTTATTCTCTTTTTCGAATGGTAATGAAAGGATATGTACATACATACGTATGCATATAAATGAAGCGAATTTCAATGCTTACGAAAAGGTTGAAGCCTCAGAGAGATCATTATTTTTTATTTCTGTAGGAAACATATCTAAAAATATATAACTTTCGAAAATCAAAACAATTAAGCATACAATTGTATAATCATAATACATCTCGCGTTAAAATAAAGAAGTAACGAATATAATAAAAAATTAATTAGAAAAGGACGTTAATTAATTTGACTATAATCAATAATTAATATATTATATCATAATAATTAATTCTATATAATTTTTATCTCGCATGTAGATGATGCATACTGAAAATACGCACAAAGAAAAATGAAGTAATTGGAAATTCAATTATAATTTTGATTTTGGCAGTCGTTACATCATAATTGCAAACAGAATACATAATCTAAGAGCTCGATCTAATTTTTACGATATTATCTAATCGATTATTTTTTCGTATAATAACAATCTAATCTGATGCTCAAAGGTTGCAGATCGTTATTTTGATAAATAAATCAGAGATCAATCTATTTACTGATATGACTGTGCAATTTTTAATTTCGAATAATTTGACTTTGAACCCAATCACGCCTATAATGAATATAAAATGGTGCAATAACCAATCAACTGTGACCCCTTTCCTCTAATTCAAATAAAACCTTCAGGACTTACAACTTACAAAATGTCTGTTTAAGTATATATCATTTTTAACAGATGAATTGACAGATTAATTGTATTTAAAATAAATGCAATTCCACATTGTATCTGTTTTCGTTAAAAATGATATATATACATAAAATAAAATTTGTCATAACAATTACAATGGTAATTAAGAAATCGCATTATTTTATATGGATGTGTAATAATACGAAATATGATAAAATAGATTTTAAGGAAGCATTAATATTTATTCATATATAATCTTAATCTAAATATCGTTTTTCATTAATCGTATAAACAGAGAAGAGAAGCAATTATTATATAAATTTTGACAATTACGAACTCCATTTTGAAATTGTTCAAAAAAAATCACACAATGAAAAAATATGTATTATACTGAAGGTGAAAAATAATACGAATTAAACGTAATTACTGATAGTTACTGATATATTATGTACAATTTGCATAAAAATTTTATTCATACAACTCGGAACATGACTAAGCAAGGAAGAGAAAGGAAACCTATTTACTGATATAAGGAATGGAGATCTGAGAAAACGTACACAGAAAGTGGAAACTACGTAAAAATGAATAGCTAAATGCGTTGCATTTACGGACGGAGAGATTAAATAATTTTACCAAATATCATTAGAAAATAAAAAAATGAACAATGGATTTAAAATTAAATTAGCGGTGATAGAAAGAAGCTGTCAAATTCATCTAAAACACAATTCGTTGATCAATAAGTTAAAGAGAAAATAATAAATACACTGAAAAAATAAAGCAAATATTCCACAAATAAATGTACTTTCACTTGTAAAAAGATCATGTATAATGAAATTACTGCATTAAGCCGCATCTATAAGTATGCCTCTCGCTCGGATTATATTTGAATTTGCTAAAATAGTTATTTTTTTTATATGGTATTTGAGCATAAATAAATAAATAAATGGTACATCTTGGAATAAATGCCACAAATTAAATTCAATGTTTAAAAATTTTAATTAGTGAAAAGAATTTTGCAATGTAAAAACTGCTGAAGTCTTTTATTCTTAATGAAAATAAAATATCATCCGTTTAATGTCATACCATTTGGAACCGGAAATGGGAGTTTTTTTTAATGTATAATCGTATGTATACATGAAAAATACAAAAATAATAAACACTTTTTCTATATTTTTTATTCACGATAAAGCTATAAAATATAATAGTAAAGTCTTAATTTACCTTTCATATATACAGTATATATATAAATTGTAAAATTAATAATAAATATGGTTTATTCATGATTATTGTATTGATTTTTTATATCATAGAAAAAACTGTAAAAAGTAATTATAAAATATTTAAAAAATAAGAAAAGTTGTCTATGCATCATGGCATAATTTTTACAGGTCGCAACGAATTCGTAATTAATATTATTTAGACTAACCAATTTTTCACATGATTAATTATTAAAAATTTATAACCTTAATAAGTGATAAAACTTTACTCCCAATTAATTTACTAATACCTTTTGCTTATATTCTTGAATTATCTTCCGTTTTAATATATATTTTATAATTACATTCTAGAGTATTGTTTTAGTCTATTCCTAGTAGGTATTCTTATTTTGCATTTGTTATGTATTTTACTTTAACTAAAATGTACCTTTTTTCCTAATATATAAGAACGCAAATCACTAATTATTATCTCTAAGTCACTTGATGTTTTTCACTAAGTTTCTTAAACGAAAAATCTTTAAAAAGTATCGCACAAAACTCGAGCTGTTAGAGACAAGTTTAAATTTTAGAGGCACGAAAAAATTTAAACTGACCTAGTTCATGACGTTGCTCTGTATTTTCTGGACTGCCATCGAAGAAATGCGTTAATTCAATGGGTTGAAATGTACAGTTATGTCGTTCACATTGCAGATCTTTATTCACAGTTATTTTGTAGTCTTGCATGCTTGACAAATTGTTATGCACTGTCTACACAAGAAAATATCACGTCAATTCTCGGGACTAGCTCAACAATATTTATTGCTTACATAAAAATGTTTAGCTTATAAGTATGTCATATGTCACGATGAACATTAAGATTATATTGAAGATAAAGTGCTCGATTTACATTTCTTTAGAAATAAAAAATCTCTGTTTAAACTTGCAAACTAGTATTCACTCACAACTTTTTCTTGTTACTTGTAGTTTTTACCAATTCTGTAGTAACTTTATAATAACATTGGGTTTAAACATGATAAAGAAGATATATGCTGTCTATATTACGTGTTTGCTAAGTCATTTGCTATGTCACGTTGAACATTAAGACTACATTGAAGATAAAGTGCTCGATTTACATTTCTTTAGAAATAAAAAACCTCTGTCTAAACTTGCTAACTATTATTCACACACAACTTTTTTTTGTTACTTGCAGTTTTTACCAATACTGTAGTAACTTTATAATAACATTGGGTATACACATGATAAAGAGGATATATGCTATCTATACCACGTGTTTGCTAATTGCGCTATCTTTGGCGGGAAATTATAATTCACAGTATGCTTGTAAAAATTAGTTGTATAAAATAAGAAACGTATATAGATAAATATCTGTATTAATGCATACATACATCTTTTACTAAACTTATTTAACGAAATTTTTTATGTTTTTAATAACTGTATTAAAAAACTTTCTCCTAAGAAAATTATTATATGTAAGAATCTAAATTTACATAATTTAAAATAAGAATATGTATTATATATGAAATTATCTACCTGATTTGTTATATAAATTTATTATATCATGAAACGATTTTATATAACTTACAAGTAGCACTTGCATACTTTTTATTCCATTGAACTATTTGAACTTTTCTGTTTCGTGTATTCATGTAATTTTCATCGTTTTAATTTTTGTAATAAATAATTGCTTATGTTTTATCATCATTGGTGGGTAATTATCATTATTAAATTACTGAAAAATATTTTTATTAAAAAAGTTAATTCTAAATATTTAAAATTTTATTTCAAAAATAATCTATTATATTTTTAATGTAATACAATTAATCGTAAAGTAAGTTTACTTATAACAGGTTTAAACTATAACCTGTTAATAAAATTTATTACAATATAATAGTATTTGTCCAGATTTGTATAATTATTTAAAATAAAATTGTTTTTCTCTGTTACTTCCGTTCGATGTCAATACATAGGAAATGTAGTTTCCACCATCTTGATGTTCTTTAGCAAGAGGGACTTGTAGGCTCCGTTATGAGGTACGGGTTGTTCAAAAATTTTCAATTACATATTAATAATATTTACTTAAATGTAATTTGTTATTTTGAACATAAATAAGAAGATATGTACCGACACGAAAATGTGTTAATTAATTTGAAATATTATATTTTGTACATTTTATGTTTGATAATTTGTTGACGACTGACCACATGGTTCCGTGATTAAAATCTATAGTTTTTTAATAGCTAATTTGACATATAATAAACCACAGTTAATTTCTAGCGATTGTTATTTTATGAAAATTAAGATAATATTTTGAAGGTACAAAATTGTGTTGTATGTTAATAATTGCCTACCACAACATAACCTCACTATATATGTTTCAGTTCTTTGAAACTACAGAAGAGGCTTGCAGCCTCTGTTATGCGATGTGGTAAAAAGAAGGTTTGGTTGGATCCGAATGAAATCAATGAAATTGCAAACACAAACTCCCGTACGTTTGTTTTTAGACTAAATTCTCATATTTGTTTCATTACTGTTTAATATATATGAACTTTTATTTATTTATTTTTTTCAGGGCAAAGCATTAGAAAGCTGATTAAGGATGGTCTCATAATTAAGAAACCTGTTGCTGTTCATTCAAGAGCACGAGTTCGGAAAAATACTGAGGCTAGACGTAAAGGACGTCATTGTGGCTTTGGTAAAAGAAAAGGTACAGCAAATGCTCGTACACCACAAAAGGTAAATAGAAGTTTTCATAATTATCTGTTTACTAATTTGATAGATTTAAATTGTAATAGACGTAAAATTTAATAATAGCATTAAAATTGAATTATCTATTTTTGCAGGATTTATGGATTCAAAGGATGAGAGTTCTTCGTAGACTTTTGAAGAAATATCGCGAAACGAAAAAGATTGACAGACATCTTTATCATTCCCTATACATGAAAGCCAAGGGTAATGTGTTCAAGAATAAAAGAGTTTTGATGGAATTTATTCACAAAAAGAAGGCTGAAAAAGCGAGAGCAGATATGCTTTCGGAACAAGCTGAGGCGCGACGTACTAAAGTTAAAGAAGCGCGTAAACGTAGAGCAGAACGTATTGCTACAAAGAAACAAGAATTGTTACAATCTTACCAACGCGAAGACGAAGCCGCAGCAGCGCAAAAAAAGTGATCTAACAATTTTACAGATTGTTGTATAAATAAAATATAAAAAAATCTTATTCTATTTTTTATTCAATTATTAATTTTTGTATCCCTTATAAAAATGAAACATACAAAATATGAAAAAATGGAAAACATCCATTAAGTAAATGAATATTATTCTATCATCCATTATTCCAATTTGTAGAGGTGATTTGTGCTAATTTATTTTTATATTTACTTATATCAGAATATATATGTTTTATTGTTGATTTTGTCTATTTTATTTGATAATCAAATTTTTTTATATGAAAACAAATATACATTTAATATTTATAAAAATTTTAATTCACCGCTAATTTGTTATTTATGTTGTCATAAACATGAATATTTAACTATTTTCATAAATTGTATGAATGAAAAAAATTGCATAAACAAATTTGATTTTATTATATCTGTAATCTATCTATAATATCTGTAAATATATCTGTAATATATCTGTAAATATCTTTAATGTATCTGTAGGTGGAAGCACGGTTACTTGTTAAGTTCGTAGAATATGGCGAGAATATTGAATACATAGTCAAAAGTTTACTAAAATTAAGTGAACATTATTCTTTCTACGACATACACTTTTAACTAATATGTATTAATTACAAGTTAAAAGGTATTTATCTTGAATACGATATATATAAACAAAAAATTATTTTATTATAATATCCATTTGAAATAACAAGTTCACAATAGGTTAGAAAAATAAAATTAGTATATGTAAAATAAAATTTTTGGATAAAAGAAATATTTCAATTAAAATACCTAATTAATAATATTTTAGACTGCATGAAACAATTTAAACACTTTGACAGTAGGCTTATTCAACAATAAATATTGTTTTATAATACTGTAAAATTTTAATTTCATAATAGACATATTTATTCAAAATGTTTTACAAGATCCATATTACAATTTTTTTTATGTCACCAGGAACTTATTAATAAATGAAAAGTTATATTTTAAGTAACATTTTATAGTATATATTGATTTATATAAATATTAAATACATGAATTTTTTTAAATTGAATTGGCCTTTCCAGCTGGATATTCCTGTTCGCATCTGAGAACTCATACAGTAATGATGAAGCATGAGGAACATGTCCGTAAATATTCCTAATTAGTATCAGACTTTAAATTAGTATCAGAATTTTTTCTTTTTTCTTTTCTTGTTTATTGTAAGATTATTTTTTGATATCTAATATTTTGGAAAATATTGCTAAATAATCAAGGAAAATTTATTTATTTGTAAAGAATTCTGAAATCAAGAAATCAGCAATTATACCATCTAAAATGACCAATAAAAAGAAGAACGTATCTCAAAAATCAAGGGAGGAAATAAAAGCAGAGCGTGAAGCAAAGAAAGTTGCAAAAGCTTTGGCCAAAGCAAAAGCTAAGTCCATTAAGATATTAAATGATGATCTGTCAAACAATAAATCTGATCCTTCCAGTAGTATTAAGGATACAAATAGTAATGAAACATCAAAAAATGTAGTCAATGAAAATATTGAATCTCCTAATGCAGTAACAGTAGGCAATGAAACTGCAAACATGTGTCAAAAAAATCCAATATTGGAGACTGGTAGTGAAGGAAAAAGCAAAGCAGAATTACGAGCAGAAAGGAGAGCAAAACAAGAAGCACAAAGAGCAGCAAAACAACAAGTTATGTTAGAAAGAAGTAAAATTAAAAGTAAGGAAGAGGACAATAGCAATAAGTCTGTAGTACATAATATTAATGTAACAGACAGGGAGAAGAAAGAAACAACACCTAAAAAAATCATTCAAAATAATAATACTCATGAAATAAATCTTTTCAAACATCTGTATCATGAAAGAAAACAAGCCATTGTTGATGTTCCTTTTGTTAATTCAAATATACATCCAGCAATAGTTAGATTAGGTACACAATATGCAAGTAAAGTAATTGTTGGTAGTAATGCTAGATGTGTTGCTTTTTTGGCTGTTGTTAAGCAGCTTATTCAAGATTTTAAAAGACCATCGCAAGCTGACTTTATTAGAGGTCTTGAAGCAAGTTTACAAGAATCTGTAGCATATTTGCATCATTGTAGACCACTAGCTGTTTCAATGCAGAATGCATTGAGACATTTAAAATGGCAAATGACACAGTTGCCTTCTTCATTGTCTGATGCAGATGTGAGTATTATTTTCAACTTTCAAATACATTTCTATAGAATGATAATTTTAAAATGATGTAAAATCATACATTTCAGGCTAAAAGTAAATTAAGTAATGCAATAGATACTTATATTCAGGAGCAAATACAACTTGCTGACAAAGCAATATCAATAACTATTCAAACTAAAATATCTAATGGAGATGTTATCTTAACTTATGGCTAGTAAGTACTCATTTTTAAACATTTTAAAATGTTTATACATATTTCTCAGTTGCAACAAAACTTGTTACTTTTAGTTCATCCTTGATACATAAGATACTATTAGATGCACATACTGCAACTAAACAGTTCCGTGTTATTGTTGTGGATGGAAGACCATGGTTGGAAGGAAAAGAACAGCTTAGACGTTTAGCAAGACATGGAATAGATTGCTCCTACATTTTAATTAATGCTTTAAGTTATGTAATGCCTGAAGTAAGCAAAAATAAATATTTTGTTTTCATTTTATTTCTAATACTTCTTAGAATTATTAATAATAACTATTTAATAGGTGAGCAAAGTATTTCTCGGTGCTCATGCAATATTAGCAAATGGTGCAGTAATGTCACGGGTTGGCACTGCCCAAGTTGCCCTGATGGCAAGAGCTTTTAATATTCCAGTCTTAGTAGCTTGTGAGACTCATAAATCTTGTGAACGTGTACAAACAGATTCTATTGTCTATAATGAATTAGGTGAATAGAACTTCATATGTATTTATATATTATTTATTTATTTGTATATTTTTATTTCTTTCTATATTGTTGATTTGCAGGAAATGCAGATGAGCTTGCACGAAGTTACGGAAATAACGCGAAAATATCATTATTGGAAAAATGGAAAACAAAGAAGTCGTTAAACCTTTTAAATATTACATACGACGTTACCCCAGCTGACTTAGTAACGGCTGTTGTTACAGAATTAGCCATTTTACCGTGTACTAGCGTTCCTGTGATTCTACGCATTAAACCATCGGAGATCTAACTTTAACTATACCAAAATGTATTCCTTAACTACATCACATAACGTTTAAACACCAATATAAAATGAATGATCGTTATATTTCTTATATCTATGTATATAAATTGGTTTTAGATAAAATTTCAAAATTATAATACTTTAAGAACAGAGAAATATATATCGTGACCTTTTTTACTTATACCTTCAAAAATATTAATTTGCTTATTATTATTGTATATTGTATTGTGTATTTTAAAATAAATTTCTGAAACACAAACTATAGTTATATTTTAATCATGTTTTTATATTTATTTAATGGTAAAATCGATTTAAATTTAAATGCTGTTTAGTTTAAACTTTAATTTAAATTTTAATTAGAAAATTTATAAATTATAGTTGGGAAAGAAAATAAATGAATCTTGAAAAAGTTTTGAAATATTTTATAAAATATTTTATAGATATAAAACATTGATATAAAACTAATTGTAAGAAGACGCCCCATTATGTTAATTTTCATGGTGCAAATTCATACTTAGAACTTAAATATCAATTCTTTAACACGTTCATGCTAGCGCTGTACATTCAACATAATTTTTGAATTTACTATTTTAAATGATACAGTTAAATTCTTTAATTGCATCGTTGTAATTTTAGGCCGAAGATCTTTATTTATTTTTGCGGGAAATTTGAAATATAAAATAGTTACAAATTTACATGTTATTTTACTCGTTGTTGGACTTTCATTTAATATGTGGAAATAGCTTTATTTATTTCTAGTTATATTAATTATCAGAATGCATTAAATATTGTAAGAGTTAATTAAAAAATATAATAGAATTTAAAAAAAGCAGAAAAGATTTTATTTATAATTTCTTTATGTTGATCTCTTTTTGAGCAATTATTTCAGATCAGTATTTATGACATAATATTTTATAATTCACCTATAATTTTGTGAAAAGAAATATTTGCTAAAATGTATGATATCTGAAGTTTTAAATACTCGCTTACGTAATGCAATTTTATTTCATATTATAAATTAATAACATGACATAAACATTATAACCTTACTTTTAATGTTTCAATCGATTTTCTTTTTCGAATTTTGAATAAAATGTTTAAACGATTATTTGGAATAAAATTTGTGATGAAGCATTTTAAAAGATCAGTTTCATCTCTTTTAACTTCAGAAAAAATTAATAATATGTTGACTACACATTTGAAACTTGATTGTAATACTATTAAAAAAATGAATGAAATTGAAAAGAACAATGTTGTTGTGAATGTTACAGAAGAACAAATTATTCAAAACTGTCTAATACTACAGGTAAACATAATTTATTTATATTATTGATAGCCATAAGTTGTATATCTGTGATAATTTTGTAATATTTTTTTTCCATTAGCATATGGATATACAATTAAATGAAATTTACCATTTGGTGCCATGTTTAATGCTTCGACCCATGATTGTGAGAAACAGGATTTTTATATTGAAGGAAATAGGTATAGATTGTATAGATTTACATCATATTCATGGGTATGTCTTGTTTTTGTGCAAATTTAAGTTTAATTTTATAATTAATTTTATTTACTACTTTAATAATTTATAATTTAATTTTCATAATTTGACTTTATAATCCTAAATCTACATTTATAATATATCTTGACATTAATCATAGCTATTTTATATTTTAGGTTTCCCTTAATAATGCGTAAATCAATAAAGCAATTTAAAAAGTTATATGTGAAAAAGTTAAATAATGAAAGTATTGTAGACACTATATTTTCCAATATAGTTATAACAAATAACAAAATTCATAAAAAATTGATAAAAATTGAAAAGCAGAATAAAGTGAAAGTAGGTGATTTTTATCAATTGTGTGTAATGTACTATAAAAAATTTCAGCTAGAATTATCTGATGAACTGGCTTTCAAAAGGAAAAGATTGAAATATCAGAGCCTTAAAGAAATAAAGAAGTTAGTACATATATTAAAATATACATGTGAGTTTAATGAAGATATTGTAAGTATAATTATATGCAAAGTGGAATAATAAGTAGAAAATGGTTTGATATGATATAATATATCTTGCAGCTAAGAAGAAATTCTTTTCTCTTGAATTTGAATGTAGATGATATTGAAAAATTTTTTACTGTGTTTCGAGATGTTAAAATAAATGACAAAACTATGATTGATATAGTAAAGAGATATCCTCGTATTCTTTTTTGTGACATAAATAATACAAAACAATTGTTGCAACTTTATGAAACATTAAAAATATCAAACAATTCACTTTATTTTTATGTAAAAGGTTTGAAAGTGAGAAAAGATAAATTTCTAAAAAGGTATGCAAGTATCGCGAACAATTTAGAATTATCTATATGGTTGAAGTACCCACGAATACTGAATATGATTTATTGTTACAAATTAGTTATGAATCGTCTGAATTATATACAGTGTTTAAATTATGTAAACAATGCAAATATTCATACATATTTATCAAATAAAAAAGTCTTTCTGAGGTAACTATTTTAACTGAATAAAAAATAAAGGTCATTAATAATTGTAGAGTAATATATATTAAAATTTATTAATAATTTATATTCTAGATTTGCAGAAGGGGATGTTTGCTCCACTGGTTCGAAGAGGCATTTGTTATATATTTTGAGTAAAGAGTTGGGGGAAGATAAAGCTCACATGCTATTATTGTATATACGAAGACATCCTTTTTGGAAATACATACCTTTGCAAAATATCAATGACATGTTACACTATTTAAAACAACATTATTCAATAGAAGATATATGTCAAAATATTCATATTATACTTTATCCAAGGTGAAAAAGCATTTATATTGCTTAAAGGTATTAAAACGTAATACTTGATATCTTTTTTTTATCACAGGTCAAAGATTGACAGTACATTGAAATTGCTGTATAAAGAGTACTCTTCACAAGCGGGATATAAATTTACTCCTGCACAATACTTGGCATTATGCTTGTACAAATTAGAAAAGAAATATCATTTTAGTGGTGATGCAGTTTGGCAAAGTGAAGTATCAGTTTTTAAATCAAATATTTATCAGGATTCATATGAACCTGATAACTTTGTTGAATATATAAATAATAATGACAATGAAGCAATTGATCTAAGTGGAACAGCATGGTTCGATTATCTTCTGCAATAATATTAAGTCCTGTACAGAAAATTATGTAAATAGTGTAACATATAATCAGTATCATGAAAATTTCAACATTACTAGCATTTTAAGAACAGAATATTAAGTTTTTGGCTATAGATAAATATAATCAATATTTTAATTTATTCAGGGTTGCAGATTAAAAAAAAACAGATGTATTTCTTGTCATTTAGAAGAAATTTGAATTGTTGACTTCAATTTTGATAGAATTATTTGTTTAGACTAAATCAATGACTTATATTTTTTACATTTTGTACATATTACATTTTCATGTAATAAGAAACAAATCAAAAGGTTGTTACCTTAAAACACTTCAGCTATCCCTACAAATATTTTTTAATATCATCTATCTTTTCAGAAATATTTAAGTATCATTAAGATTATAAATTAATTATCAAAACAATGAGCTTCTTCTTGTGGAATATTTCGAATAGTTCTATTTTTATTAAAAATCATTTTCATATACAAATTTAATATTAACGTACAAGATTATAATAAATTGTATTAAACTTTGTAAATATTTCAGAAGTTGTCATTTATTTAAGGCACATTATTGCCAAATAATTGATTACATATTTTCATTTTTAAGTGTATTTAGATGCGAGTAATTATAAACATCACAAAAAGAAAAACATATTACAAAATACACGCAAAATATCTTTATAAGAAATTTTATAAATTCAAATGATGTTTATACTCTCTATATACACGTATATACGTATGTTTTGTTATACACCTTAGATTATGTAAATAGGATAGGACATAACAATGCTTGTTTCTTGTGGTTTATCTAGTAAGTGTAAATAGAGGACAAATAATACAAAAGTACTCGCACGTCGTACAAATCTGTTTTTTCAAGGCACTGGAATGCTTTCATTTGACTAATTTACTTTTCTTAAAATACTTTGTTTCATACAGATACATTTATTATAAAAAACATGTTTCTTTTAAGATTACTTTTTTACTAAGAAAAATCAATGATTATCATATTCTTAATGTTAAATTTTCTTTCAAAAAGGTAACTCTTATTATTTCTATCAATTTTTAAGCTATATAATACAAAATCGAATTACATTGAACAGAATCATTTACAAGTATTACAAATAAATTTTATAAATAACAAGAACTTTGAGGATTCCTAGAATAGGACTTTGTTAGAAAGCTTCCTTCAAGTTCTTTTCTATTATCATGATAGCAATTTATAACAAGGTTAATTAACTCAAAGCCTTTTGTTATTACTCTAAATCCAACCTGATAACAAGTCCAAAAATCAATAAATCTCCTTAAGCACAACTTACACAAAACTGAAACTCTCTTTATAAAAACTCAGATTTAAAAGTTTCACTTAGACCTTATCATTAATTCTCAAACTTGTTTGCTAAGGGAAACCCATTCCAAACCGGAACCGCCAGTTGCTTTAAAGCGAGTCTAGACCGGAGGTTTCGAATCAGTTCAGAAAAGGAGGCAACTGAACATAGTTTTGTTGGTTGTTTGGCTCGGTTTTCACCATCACCTGTTCCTTCATTCCTTGACGTCCTTGGGGTGAATGCATTCCATATTCTTGTTTCTGATCCTGTTGTTGTTGCTGTTGTTGTGGTTGTTGGGTGTAATCAGGTTGTTCATGTTGATATTTATCCGCTGGACTAAGACCACTGACATAATCTAATTGTTTGTTTTGTTGATGTTCTTCCTCGGACATGGAGTTGGCTAGATGAGTAGGTGGTGAATGGGTGGTCACCATAGTCTGATAGTCGTTTCGTGTTAAAGGGGGTGGTGGACTATTACTAGCATTCATATAGTCTTGGTGCACACGCATCGTATTGCCTGATGGTGTAGAGAATAACGAGGCATCGTGCTGCGGAAGCATAGTTGCATACGAGTACGCCGATCCGTTATTACTTGGTCCACCAAAGGAGGTGGAGTATGGAGAATTAGACGGACTAAGTAGATTCAGGTGTGGCGCAAGATCGTAGGCTGGCGAATACGCCCAAGCATCCGGTGGTGCGGCTGCTGTTGTTGGAGAGGCGAATGGATTGAGAGTATTGTTCAATGAGGTAAATGATCCTAGTGGAAAGAAATGGAAAATTGTTTATATTAATTTATTAAACGTAAAGGTAATTTTTTAAAGCGAATTATTTGTATTAATACGTAGAGAATGAATATAATTTTATTGAAGTTTTTAAGTATGCATAGTAGCATAAACTGGATTTTATATCAATGTTAATTGTAAGTATTGAAATTTTTTATATCAATTATTGTAATTTCATGACATTATTTATGTCAATTTTTATGTCAATTATGTTAATGATTGTAACTTAAAATATAAATTACATATTTTTGTAGAAAGCATTAGTATTATCAATAGCTATATATGTATGACCTGAAATTGAATGGGTTATACATAGTTTTGAGAATGAAAGAGTGAATAATATTATAATTACAAATGAATTCTTATATGATTGAGAAATACATTAAAGTTTATGCAGGAGGTAAGCTATAAATTTTAGTCATTTTCATAATTTTATGATATACATATGCATCAACATATTTTTATTATTATTCAATTAATTTGAACATCAGTAAATAATAGTGTTAAATGAATCATATTTATGCAAAAATTTTGATATAATATTTAGAAAGAATTATTCTTTTCTGAATAATTAATAGTATTTTTATAATTTTCAAAATATTCTTTTCCTACATTTTCTTTGATAAAAAGAATAATAAATCAAGTATTATTTTATTAATGCAATTATTTCAGAATATATTTCTATACAAAATAAATCAAATCTTCGTGAATAAAATAAATTAAAATAAAACGGATAAAAAATTAAGAAATCAATAAATTAGATAGAAATTCGATAAAATTTTTACTATAATTACCTGATAAGCCGGGACTTGCTGAACCAGCAGCCATGTAACCAGCAGTTTTACGTGGAGGTTCTCTCTTCCGCCATTTTGCACGACGATTCTGAAACCAGACTTGAACCCTTGATTCCGATAAAGCGAGTTTCAGGGCAAGTTCTTCACGTGCAAAGACATCAGGATATGGTGCACGCTCAAATGCCCTTTCCAATTCCTCCAACTGATAAGCGGTAAATGTTGTTCTAAAATAATTAGTTTGCAAAATGAAAATCAAATGTTCATCGAATGGTAATAAGTTTCAGACTAATCTTTCTTTTCAACCAGACAAAACTAACATTCAGCAGTTTAAAATATGTTCCATGATAGCAATATCACGTTTTTAAAAATTTGTTCATTACTAGATGAGAATAATGTAATTAAAATTGAAACTAGAATCGAATGGTGAACAATTAATTTTGTCTTGAATAGATTAAATATTAATTTTAAATCTATTGACAAAGAAAGACGAAAATAAATACCTAGTCTTTTTCTTCTTGATTCCATTGTTGTCAGTCTTCTTCTTTGAGTCCTTCTTAGCTGGTTGTGCCTCGTTACTGACTGTAAAATGAACGAACGTAATTTAAATTCCCGGAATTATCCCTAAAAAATAATAGTTTAGCAATATGTTAATATTGTATCTTAAATCAGTTGTTACATATACAGATCTAATTTCAATCATATAGAGCCTTAACTAATCTTTAACTGCATGATATATTTTGGACGAGGTATAAATTCTCCTAATTTATATACTGAGATAAACTTCGGAAACTAATATTTTCATAAAATTAAACAAATTTTGCAATAATTTCTACAAATCAATGAAAATTCAATATTTTCGAAAAATTTTTCTATTTAAATATTTTCATAATACGTACCTGGAGCAAGAGTGTTCATCGGGTCCTCTGGTTTTCTTTTTAAAGGATTTCCAAGCTGCAGACCTTGCTGTAGCGTCGTTGAAGTCGGTGTTGCGGCGGTGGACGTCGAAGTGGTAACATCCTGTGTCTGAGGAAGAGGAGCATACATTCCAGCCAATTCCAGTTCCTTTAACTCCTTTTGCTGTTGCTGCTGTTGTTGCAAATGATGATGAGATGTCTGATGATGGGGTGGTGGACTATTGGAGGAATCCAATTTGTGAAGGTGGCCTCCAGTGGGCATTAAATCGCCACCGTGGTGTCCACCATGAAGACCGAGCATCACTTGAATACTGTGAACTCCGGAACCTCCTCGACCACCGAAGTCAGAAAATATTGGATCATCGAAGGGACCTCCGTCCATTTTTTCACCAATGAAGATTTTTGTAGAATTAAAGTCCTTTTATTATCTTCTTTCCTTTATTCTTCAATCGATAAATAACAATTTTAGATTATTTTTCTAGTTTTTAAATAATAATAATCAATAGATAACAAGGATAACACGATCCTTTTCTAAGAACTCTTGATGTTTTAATAGGCACGTGGCTTCATTATCAAAAGCAGATAGAACTTTTTCTTTCTCTTAAATAACCAGCAACTCTTTCCTTCACTCTTCCAAGTAAATTCACATTTCTCTTTCAATGGTTTCTTGGAACTTCGATTGTTTCCTTTTCTTAATTATTGCTGACTAAAATTCGAAGGGTCGTAAAAGAACTTTTCCTCTGTTACACGCTGTAGCTGTCTCAACAGTTCCAGTTAACTCCATTTATTTCGTTTCTTCAATCTCTAAATTTAATTTCAAATTCGAGGGTCTGACCAGAAAATTTTCTTTCTAACGGTAAACAACAATTTTTCCCATCGACCGTCGGTATAAATTCACAGTTCCTTTTCTTCCACACTTCTTTCATCCGTTCTCGATTCAGAATGGCGACAAATAAAAATTCGCCGATTGTCTATCGTCGTCCAGCTTGATTTCAAATTACCAAGATCAACGAGATCGGTTCCTATCCACTTCCTGCTCCCTTTATTACCACCGATTCCTCGGCTTCTTCAAGACCATCACCGATCAGGCTGGCCAATTATGCAAAAAGGCGCGCGGTGCGCAGGATGGCGGTCGCGTTCGCGCGTCCTCCGTAATGGAATCCGAGCCAATTGCGATCAATTGTTGCCCGGGTTATGATTAATTTTGATTAGTTCGAGCTAACGAAGCGAGCCAGTATCGTGTCGTCGACACACGGACAGATTGAAACAGCGAAACCGAATATTGGAGAACCGGAGGAACTTCCCAGGGATCAAGGCGTCCACGATAAAAAGAGTCCAGGAGGACGAAGATTTGTCGGTGTCTCGTTATATATTTCTCTTCTAATCGTCACGGGTTTCCCCTTTTCTATATATCGAGAACCGGGTGAGTTGATCGCGCGAAACAACAAGAGCTGCCTAACTAACCGGACACTGTCGCACTAGCGACGATCCGTTCTGACTCTGGCTAATCAACCGACACTCACACACGCTTATATTTTCAACGGGTTGCCGGCCAGGCCGCCCCCACACATGGAAGCCAACCAATCCTGTAGCACCTACTATGCCGTACGTGCTCCACGAGAGGACGGCCGTTTTATGCGGGCGCGGTATACTGCCTCCTGTTTTTCTTCCTCTTTCTTTCTCTTTTTCTCCCTTTCCATTCTATACGATCATCTGTCTATCTCTGTTTTTAATCCCCCTGTACAGAGCCACCTCCCCACCCCCCGTACTCTTCTTTTACATCTTTTTTCCCTTTCTTGTCTTTTCTCTGTCTGTTACCCACTCCATGGTTCTTCATGGTATTGGCCGGGTTTACAGAGGTATGTGTAGCTCTTTGTCGTTAATGTCCCTGTCGGAGCATGTCCGAGGATCTTTCTCGTTGGTCTCGTGCCAGTGCCACACCATTGCGACCGCCCCCGGATGAAGAGGTTGGAGAACGCCTGGTCCATGGTGTGCTAGGTGACGTTTTGCGCTGCATGGAGGGGTATGTGGGAATCGGAGCGGACTGGCTTGTGCACGATTCGGAGCCACGGTGATGGGAAAATCGAGCATCGGAGGCTTCCACTTCGACTATGGACTCCTTGCGCTTGACCCGCAGGGACCCAGATATTTCTTGGAACGGAGATCATGGTGAAGAGAACGCTGGGTAGCTGGTGGCTATTCAGGGAAAAGAGGCGGTTTTAGGAAAAATGTGCGGATGATTTCATTTCATTTCTACTTGCTACGGTGGAGTATAAATGTTTTACGTTTACCTATTAATCGCTGTTGCTTCTTTATAAGTAAATTTAGATTAATAGATTTGGAAGACGTAGCGGATGGGTATGTTTGATTACTTTTTTTTATTCTGTAGATGTGTTCCGTTGGTGAAGGGTAGGATGGATGGACCAGAGTTTCTTGGTTTGGTTGGTACTCCTCGAGTTCGGATTTAGGAAGGTTGATGATGGTACTGAGGTACTGTAAAATAAGATAAATAATAATATGCAAAATAAAATGGTTAGATTGTGATGTTTCTAGCGAAAGTCGATTGTTTAGAGTAATTAAAAGACGTTGATAAAATAACTTAAGTATAATTCTGTTTAGGTTAGAATCTCATAGAGTGGATAATAGAGATGTAAGTTGTTAGTGAACTCCGAAAGAAAAGTGTTCTTACGAAAACTTTTTAAGTCTCAGATTCCTGAAAATTGAACAATCTGGAAAATTATGTAAAATGTGTCAGAGTTGCGTTTAAGTTTAGCACGATATGTGTCATTAGTTTTACGCAGAAAATTAAAACTACTCACGCGATATTCCGGAACGACGACGTGCTTATGTTATGACTTTTATATCAGATAAATCGTATTATTTAAGTTATTCGTACTCTATGCTCCAATTTAGCATAAAATTTATAATTTGAACGACAGTTATTAATATTTTTAAATTATAGGGTTTTCAATTGCTTTAACAAATATCACAAATATTACAAATGAAAAACACCAGAGGAAAAGCAGATAGTGCCATCTATTTTAACACTAATTCAAGTACAACCTGTTCAAACCCAATTTTCATGACTATATTGTCAACAACTTACCTGAATTTCCACCAGATCCATGTTTCACGCTCCATTTTCTCGCAATCAGGTCAATCCTTCTCGAAAGCTATCTTCTTAGACACCACACACCATTAAACTCTAATCAACCAGCCCAACTCCCACAAATTCCACTTTGTTTGCACCCTAACCCCAGTTACATATAACATATCCGTATCAGCTATCCATCTCGCTGTCTGTCCATTCGTAGAAGTCCTTGAACCGGAACCTTGAACCTCGATCAAACTATTCGAGAGATCACACAGCGCTCGCGGCGATGATCGACGTGCGTTCATAACGTCACCGGTCCTCTGTCTACCAAATGTACGATTCTCCCATCAATTCGCGTCCCATGCACAATCAACGATTTGAACCGTCCCGCAAGTTTAATCTTCGCACGCTCGAATCATGCGCGAGCATCTCTTCCGGATTCGAGACGAGAAATCGAACGGAATCGTTTATCGATTCATAAGAAGATGGTCGATCGGAAGGACGAGAAAGGTAAGAGTACCTATACTTTCCAAGAGATCCATGTCCGTTGACCGGCAGCGTGGCACTGAGCTCTTAAGCGCAGGCTCAATGAAACCAGCAATCGCCAGGAATTGCCTCGAATTGGCCCAATCAAACTACCCCCATTCCGTGTGTACACGCGTATATTAACTGCTAATTTCATCGGCGGTAATTAGCGCGCGCGAGCGCGCGCCTGTCACGCGCTGATTTAATTGCACTCTCGCGGACACTCTCTTTACTTCCTCCCCCTCCATACCGACGAAGCATCTTTTCCGCTTCTCCGCTTGGATCCGATCGCGCCACCGTTCCCGCGGTCGCCCTCGTCGTTTTCGTCCGATCTCATTAACTAGTTTGTTTACTAAACCAACGGAGTTGCGATTAGCTGGAGAATGGATGCTGAAAATCGGAAAAAAAGAACGCAGATTTAAAGGAACAGGTGAGGATGATTTTTATAGGATTTTCGCCATGCGAAGTTTGCATAAGAGGATGATTTTAGGTTGGGACAGTTTATAGGTTAGAAATCCTTTTAGCAATAAACGAATGAAGAATATAAATTGGGATAAATATCTGTTCTTGTTTCATTATACTACATGTATTTGATTGAGTAAATGTGTTATGAATGAGTAATCAAGATATGTAATTAGCAATATAATCGTTTAGTATAGAAGCAATACAATAGTAATAAAGTAATGGTTAAATAAATCATACAATTTTCTGGACTCTCTTTTAGTTTGATAAGTAAACGCACTTACATGTATTTCCATTGATAATGAATAAGTATTAGTTACATATTATAAGATATTTTTTAGTGTAATACAGGAATAAGTTTGTTGTACATTTATATTACTGTAATGTTTATATGGTATTACATATACCACTCTAACCAATTAACCTTATTAAGCTGGCTTAACAAAGCAATAATTATATCATTGAACATATCATTTTAAGATTTCCTAACGTATCTTTCGTAAAATCTATACAACTAACTCCCTAATCTGTCATAGCGTTCCCAAGATTCACACAATCCTAACCTTAAACCAGATCGAATTCAACAACCAAGCAGTAGACTTCAAGAATTGTAACTTTCTCTGTATCGAGATCCAACCGATTCGATAAGTTGTCAATCAAATTAAAGGCGAATGGATACGGGTGAGTGCACGCGTGCGCATGCTTGCAGGATATCCGCGAATGCAGGAGGCGGCCGGTCGGGAGGATGACGGCGAGCGCGCAAGAGCGAGAAGTCGGTAACTTAACTGGCCTAAATGGGTTTAACTCGATGTGATTTTGCTGGCGAACCACTAAATTGAACGAATACGAACTAAACTGAACTCAACTAAGCTAATCATATCACATTACTAGCGTTATTAGCCGAGAGACGATATAAGTGAAGGTCCGGTGGTGCCGGGCTGCAGTAACGGGTCGCCTCCTGCACTGACCCTCTGCACAACTTTCTTTTCGACCCCTTTTTCTTGTTCACGTCGTTATTCAGTCCGCGCCTTGTATTATTTATTCGAACTTTAAACTATAGAAATGTGTCTATTTTGTGTGTTTCTTACGTTTACTGTTATTTACGAAAACATTTTGTAGGTTAGTTTTTGTGAAAGTTAGATGGAAGTTGAAGTTTGCTGGAGAAAACATAGGATTCTTGGTGAACACGAGGTCTGAGGGACGATGATGGCCGATCCTGGCCGAACGGAGATGCTACCCTGGCTGCTGAACAGGAAACACGTGCTCTGAGTGAAAGTGACAGCTCGCCGCGCGCCAGATTTGAAATGGAGATCGAGGAATCATACGGCATGGCTCCTGATTCGTGATGTCGTGTGTGAGATCAGTCTTTGGAA